ATCGATATTATATTCTAAATAAAGTATAATCTTTGCTCTTTCATTAACTTTGTAACGAACTGCTACAGTGAAATAATATTCCACTTTGACACCGTTGAGAGCTTCTCTTCCGTGTTTTATATTACTTGTATTGAATAAAGAAGGCTGACACTTGTAACAGTATTTTATTATAGTTTTATTAGTAATAGTTTTGTATAATGATTAGTTATAGTTTTGGTTATATTACACAGAAAATTGTAGAATAATCTAGAATATGATAGAATATTTTAGAATATCTCAGAATATTTTAGAATACTGTAGCAACTTCTAGAATTTTATGAAATGTTTTAGAACCTTTTAGAATTTTCTAGGTATTATTAAGTAATAATTAGTAATACACATCATCTTAATATTATGCAAAGAGCATCACAAATATTATCTTTAATACTATGAACACTATAGCTAAAAATAACTATTAGTTCATTCAAACACTACAAACACTAATACAAATTACTAATCTTTAGCAACTAAAGGTAATAAATATAGGTCTTTTCTTCTTTGACTTAGCATGATGTAGAATTAAAATCATAATAGTTTCTAAAATAAGATAAATAATAATAATTCTTCTAAATAATAGCTGCTCTCTAGTTCTTACCAATAAATAATATTTTAATATCTTTAGTCTTCTCTTAGGCAAACTCTTGCATTTCATTTCTTTATAATTTTTTTTTATTATTTTTGGTTTCTTTAGTTTTTGTTATTAGAAATAATATTTTTTTTCTTTTATTTTTAACTTTATTGATTTTGGTTTTGTTTGTTTACTAATAAATAAACTGGTACCTTGAATAATAACTATAAAAAACCTTCTGCTACCTAAAAATTTGCAGATTAATAAAGAACTGCTCGTAACAATAGTATTAGCTTTAGTAGCAGATTAGCAGACTAGTTTTTATTGACTTGTGCAGAACTTAGTATAATATGAATAGCAGTATTAGTAGCTTCTGTTAATACAAAAGTAAATATATTTTTAGATAACTAAGTAGTAATTAATAGTTTACAAAACAATAAGTAAACTAAAAGTATAAAAAACTTGTTTAAGATCAAAAATTGCAGTTTAGTTAGACAAATTCAAGAATATTATAAAGCTAAAGATATAAAGCTTAGCCTAACTAAAATTAAGGAATACAGTAGAAATACTTGAAATGACAAAGCTAATAAACTTGCAAAAGTTAGTCTAAGCTCAAATAATTTACTAAAAGTAAAAGATATCAATACAAACAAATTAAATATCTTATCAAAGTAGAATAATAAGTAATTGATTACTCAATCAGATTGTTTGCAAATATAACAATATCTATTATATATAAAATAGAATAGGTAGAGTTAAGTAATACAAAAGATATAACAAACTCAAGACCAGAAAGTAATTGTGATAAAGATCTAAACTGGAATTTAACTTAGAATATATTAAAAAATTAACAAGGCAAGAAGTACACAAGTCTAAAAAAAAGTAAAACATTAATATTTAAAATAAAATACTTAAATAAGCTACTGCTAACTCAAGATATGTACTATTTGTAATATTTAAAACTATATATATACTGCTTACTATATAGCAAAAGAAATATTTAATTATCTAGCAGAGTATATAATCTACTAGAGGATATAAAAACATACTAAAAAAGCTATTATAGAAAAACTAGATCTAAAACTTTTAAAGAAATGAGATGTATCTATACCAAGTTTAAGATTAAAAAAAACAATCTTAAGAATTAAAAATCAAGTCAAAGAAATCAGAAAGCTCTTAAACTCTGATTCTAAAACCAATTAAATAATAGTTTAATTCATAGATATTTTTTAGACAAACTTTTTTGAAAAGTTATAAAAGTTTTGTTGTAAAATAATATCTAACTAGAAAAAAGAAAAAAGCATTGATCTGTGAAAAAAAAGAAATAAAAAAAAGAAGTCATATAGAGCAAAGACTTTAAACAAAGAAAATAGTATAGTTTCAGATATTATAAGCAAAGAAACTACATTTTCTAAAAGTAAAAAAGTTTTAAAAAAGATAAATAATAAGATAAAAGGCTGAATTGAAAGAGAGAAAAAAGAAAAATAAATAAAATTCAAAAATAAATGAGGTGTTCTTGATATAAGCTAGTAATAACCTTCTATTAATTATAATTAGATAATATGTCTTAATATATATATTTTTATAAGAAGAAAAATAATACTGTAGCTAATCATATTTAGACACCTAGTAGACAACTAAGTGAATCTAGAATTGTAACAAAGAAGATAGTCTTAAAATTAAGAGTAATTTTATTTTTTATTTTTTTATTTTTTTTATACTTAGATGATCTTGTCTATTATTTTATTAAAAACAAGCTAATTTATGCTATAAGTAAAATGCTATACTAATTATAGCAAACTACTTTTCTAAAACTATTTAGGACTTATTTGGTTGCTTTTCAGCATCTAAATATGATCTGCTGCAACAACTATTTTTCTTATAAGAGTTTAAATTTGTATATACAAATTTTTAGTTCTTAGTCAATGAGAAACTACTACTAGCCTAAATAGTTTTATTTTTCTTTTTTATATCTGTCATAAAACCTATATAGATTTTCTTTTAATAAAATGAAAAGCAAAATCATCTAAATTAAAAAAAAAATAATAATAAATTAATAAAATCTAATTGGCTAAAAAAACAGTTATAATAATAATAAAAAAAACAAAAAACATATTATAATGTAGCTTTATATAATATAGATTAAAGATAAGAATCGATAATTGAAAATTGATTATTTTAAAATTGATTTTGAAATTTAAAATCGATTAATCGATTCTAAGAATTGATTTTAAAATTTAAAATCGATTTTGGTGAGGTAATCAATTCTAATAAGAAAAATCGATTCTCTCTTATATTATGAAATAAATTTGTGATAAACAATAGTTTTTTATAGAAGAGTAATCATTTATCCACGATTTTTTCAAGAAATCGCTCATAACTCAAAATTTTGCTTATGAAACTACTTTCTGCATTCTAATAAAAAAAAATTCCTTGCAAAATTTTAGGTTAAAAACATCTTTGCTACTATACATCGCTAACTCTACCCTAATTTAATGAGTCGTTGTTTTTTTTGTTTTGATTTCACTGATTGGTCAGTCATAAGACTAGCGATGCGCACTGGCTAATTATCAAAAAATAATTATTATTTTTTATTTATTATAATATATATATTTTTTTAAATAAAATAAAATAAATATATTATTTTAAATACTAAAAACAATTAATTCTACGAAAATTAATATGATTTGATAAAGTTATTATTTTTTATTTATTATAATATATATATTTTTAAATAAAATATTATTTTAATACTAAAAATAATTAATACTACGAAAATAAATGTAATTTGATATAGTTATTGTAATAATTTACCGAAGATACAAGCTAAGTTAAATTAATCGTAGTTTTTTTTTTTTTTTTTAATCCGATTAATCGATAAAGTTATCCGATTTTAAAATCGATTTTGATTTTGAAATCGATTCCCATCCCTAATATAGATTATTTTTTTTTTAATAAATAATTTTAAAAATTATACAAAATTATTTATATTAATATATACAATATATTTTTTTTAATAAATAAATTTTAAATATTACATCATATAATATATACAATATAAAGATACATCTTACACAATAGGTCATAATAACTACATTATGATCTTATAAACCACACCATCCTCTTTATCAAACCAAGATCTAAAAAAAAAAATATCAAAAAAAAAAATCACAAATCAAAATAAGAGAATAGAATCCTGCATTTCTTGTTCTAACCATTCCAACGATGCCAAGACTATAAAATGAAAAAAAAATTAGCTCCGAAGAAAATCAACCAAGAATTAGAATAAAAACTTATACCAATTGTTCAACCATTCCTAGTTCTTCGCCCGAATCCAAGTCATCGCGCCCATTTCACATTCCAACAAATTGAAGGCCTACAAGAGAAAAAAAGTGGTAGTTCCCATTTCAAAGAAGAAAAAAAAACATAAAAAACAATGAATGGAAATTGGTACTTATCGTTCGACCATTTCCAGTTCTTCGGCAATCCAAATCATCATGCTCATTTTGCTTCCTACAGTTCCAACGAAGCGAAGACCAACAAAGAAAAGAAATAATCATTTTCTATTTCGAAAAAAAAGAAAAAAACAGACAAAAAACAGAATTGAAACTAGCACTTAATGAACGAAGATCTTCTTCGAATTACGAAGTGTCAAGAGTTGAAGTTTTTTGGTTTGATGAATAAACATCTCGAGAGTAATTTCGACTTGGCGAGAATATTTCACGATTAAAGGGTTACCATATACGTGCCGTAAGGGTATGTTGAGTATATTATAAGTCAATGCACGGTCAGTGTTGAAGCGTATCCATCTGGTCGACCTCAATCATTCGCAGACAGGCTCCCTATGCTGGTAATAACGCCTCGCTTATCCAGATGAATAACCTCAGTTTTTTCCCGACCTTCAACTTAATACCTAGCAGACGCTTGCGCAGGGGTTGTGATTTTCATATTAATATGAAAACATCCGCAGAATACAAGCGAGTAACCTCAGTTTTTTCTGCTCGAGTAAATCAGTCTGTGCCGTGTTTTAGGCAAAATAGATAATCGAGTCATTATATTTGTTACAAGAATCACGTGTAATCAATTTTATTTTGATATGAGTAAATCAGTCCGTGCCGTGTTTTAGACGATCAATCGAAATAAAATTGATAACACGTGATTCTTGTAACAAATATAATGACTCGATGCGACATACTTTTAGCCATGCTTAATAAAGGCGTGGGCTAAATATCTTCACTTTCTTATATGTAGTATCATGTGACGTTGAACTCGAAATATAAGAAATGTAATGTTACAAGCGTTTTTATGATTAGTCCTCAAGAGGCGAACATAAAAAAAAAATAATCAAGTTTCTCGTTATTACTTCGAAATTATCAAAGTTTAAAGAACATGAATCCAGCCAGACGAAACAAGATTGACCTAGACGTAAGTCGAGATATAAATAGTAATTAGTAATTTATGACTAGCAAATTAAAGAATTGTGAACCAGAATTTTAATAAAATTTTCTTTAATAGAAATTAACGGAGGAAGAAAAAAAAATGTTTCGCCTATATGGTAAACTGCCAACGGGAAAAGATCTTTTGAGCCATAAATTGAAGGTATTTGCTTTTTTAGTCAGCAGAAAATTTTGAAAAACTTTAATTATTGATTCTATCAAAAAGTTGTCATAATATCTTCATATAAATTGAAATATTGTTCATTAATTTGATAATTTGGCAATTTTAAGGATTATATAATTTTTTTCAAAAAAAGATCAAGAGTTATCGAATTTGTAATAAGAATTTCTTAATATTAAAATAGGAACGGAAATACTTTGATTCCGGTGATTATGCACTTTCAAAAGCTGGAAAAACTCAAGGACCTGTTGGTGTTCAGCACCCATCTCCTGATAATATTCCTCATGCAAATGCTATCGCCGCAACTACTCATAATTCTTCACCTGTGAAGGAAAGTTCTTTAGTACATGAAGCTGAACTTGATGAAAAAACGGTGGATCCCGATGTACAACCAGTAGATCCTAATGTTACATCAATCACATCTACGTCTATCCCTGAAGCTTCTAATTCTACATCAGCACCTGCTCCTACACCTATAGATTCAACCCACTCACCCGCCAACCCGAGAACCGATATTTGCAATAATAACCCAGAGTGATTATTCTTTATCTGATTAACCCGTTAGTTTTTTTTTTCTAATCTGCGCCTGTCAGCTATTATTATTATACATTTTTTAAGTATATATTTTTAAGTATATATTTTTAAGTTTTTTTTTTTTTTTTTTAAGTTTGTATTTATATAAAAAAATAAAAATTTTGACTATCTTTAGCTTTGCGGTTATACTTACAGCAAAACAATCCTGAACTGATGATACTTTTGCTTAGAAAGAAAATATATATTAATTATTATCATTATTACTATTACATGACAGATAAATGAGTGTATCCAAAATGAAATCTAGATTTTTTTAATTAGAAAATTATCATTCAATCCCTGAAAACTAGTTAGTGACGTATTATGCGTATCAAAGGCATGGGTGCGGCTAGTTTTCTAGTCATATAAGTATCACAGATTTTTGCATATTACGAAGATAATTCTACAATATATTATAATAGCAAATTTCTGATTTATTTATGAGCATTTGATTGATTAGTGAAAATCCCTCGAATTTAAATTATATTAGTTTGAAATTAGTATTTTATAGAAGCTTTCGCACTTTCAATAGTTGGTCCAATTTAAAAACAATTTGGGGTATATATTCAATGAATTTCAGGACGGGAGTTTATGTAAAAAATTAAGAACGAGAAATATAAAGCGTATCAAAATTTTAGAAATTTCTATATAAATTTTGATCGATTAGGTTCATTAACCCCTCGAAATATTATTTTTCTACACTGTATAGAAGTAATTAAAGTGAAAGTTAATATCAAAGAATTATTTAAAAATGCTGATTTCTTGATTTCTTTCATGAAGTTCATTTTCGCTATTTTGTTAATTGTGCTAATTCTAGCTATTTTTGTTATTAGCGATTTTTTTATTCTAATGACCAGTGAACCCTGGTTGACTTATTTATTCCTCCGTTGAAATAAAACCGTTATGTTTTCTAAGTAAAAAAGCTGCGTGTAAAAATTAATTGTTAGCATCTATTAATAAAAGGTGATTTCTTAAAAGTGAGTTATCCCTGCTTTTTATAAAACCTGTTATTAAATAAAATTATTTACAGTATAGATAAATAAAATGAAAAATTAGAGATTTAATGCTCACCGGAGGTGAAATCTCACTAACAGCTGAAGTAAAAATTTTTGCACATAAAAAACCCTAATTTTAATCCAAGCCCTAACTCTAATTTTAAAGAAATAAAATGTCTTTGCCTTGAAATTAACCTTGACTTTTAAGGCAAAGACCCCTCCCCTATATGATAAAAAGCGGTGACTTCATCTCCGGTTACTCATTATTTTTTTTTGTCGTTATTTAATTTTGTAAAACTAGAAATAATTATGTTACTTTTTATCAAACAAAATGTTGTAAGTTATATTATTAGAAACAAAATTGTAATTTTTCACTTATAAAACTTTAATTCAAATTTTTTATATTTAGAAGCCTAATATCGATTTAACCAATTTTAAAAATTAACAACCCAATGTAAAATCATAATAAATTTATAAAATCTCTATTAAAATACTCTTATTTATTTAAATGTGAATAAATTGGCCGGCATTATAAAACTTTGAGCTATAAAAACCAAGTTAAGCTATATAATTATTATTTAAAAATTAATTTGCTTAAAATTCATAATAAAATATAATCAACTTACGTATTTTATGAACTATAAAATCCCTTTATTTGCTTGGATTGATCTCTCCCAGAAAAATATGTCGGTCAGTACTGCATGAAGCAACTAATTTATTAAAAATATTATATTGGTTAGAATTTATATTTATTGAATTTATGAATATACGAGATTATTACAATGTTAGACAGGAACAGTTTAAATAATTTTCCAATATATCACCAACATAACAATATTATAACTTACTAATTGGTTCTTTAGGATGAAAGTCTACTTCATTGACGGAACCTTTATGGCCAGGTAGTTTGTAGAGAATTCTACAGGAAGCGACTTCCCAAATTACAACAGACCTATCACTACTTCCAGTAGCAATTTGTGATCCATCGGGTGACCATGCAGGCTTGATGAGATTCTTTTCAAATCCGTGAGGTGCCCCTTTTGGTGCAAATTTCGATTAAGAGTATGTTAACGAGGAAAAAACAAAAACTTGTATATAATACTACCTTCAAATATCTTGAGTAGACGATTCGCAGGTGCAAAAGGTTTCACATCCCAAATTCGGACTTAAAAAGATGAAGAATCTATAAATAATGTTGTAAATTGAACTTATATATATATAAAGTTTGATCATAAAATTATATACCAGTATCATCCATGCCATCCGACAAAAGATACGATCCATCAGGGCTCAACTTTAAACCAGAAATAGTATCTTGATGCCCTTTGAGAGTATAAATGACGCTTTTTTTTCGTAAATCCCATGCCTTAAAATATATGTAGCCAGACAATTAAATTTACTACATGAAAAACAATTATCTCTATTTTCTAATATAATGAAAAAACCTACATTAATATCATTATCTAAGCTGCCAGAAAATACCAAATCACCCGCCTCACTAAAACATGTCGCAGTTATTTGGTACTGGTGACTAAATGTATCTACTGCGTCCTTTTGACGAAGGTCCCATATCTAAATTTATCATCAGTAATTAAAAATTTTTTGAGTGAAGTAAAAAAATTTATATCAATCTTAAGTCTTATCACCTTAATAGTTCCATCATCACTACCACTAACTATAATTTCATTGCCTCTGCGTGCAGCAGATACACTATTAACATAAGACGTGTGACCCTT